GAATTCACGTTGCCATAAGCCTTATAAATCCATTTGTTGGCTTTGTAGTAAACATCTCCATAATGTAATTTAGAGGAGCTTTACATATTAGGGATTATTTTATACAAAACTTCTCCTATCATGCCACCAACTCATGAAAACCAATGAGTCATTATATGGGCATTAGTGGGCTGCAACGTTTGTCATCAAGTCTTATCCAATAATTCCCCCATTTTCATAATAAACTATTACTCCCCCACTAATCCAATAATTAATCAATTACCCATATAATTAAAAATTATCCCAAATTACTTAAAATACTACTTATTTTTAACACACCTTATACACCTTACTATCATGGCCATGTAGTACCTTGTATGGCACTAGTCCATAAATACCGGGTATTATAACTCGGACCGTAATTTATCTCAAAATGTCACACTTTGACAAAATTCATTTTTTTCGATTTGCTTACCCTCTCACCTTCACGAATTTACTCATTACTTGTTTGGAATAGCATAATGCTAATAATCTCAAAATAATTTTATTCCCGAACTTACGTCGATTAACTTATGACGAAACTTTAACGTACAAAAATACTGGATGTAATATCTCATTTCCGAGCTTTCATCAATTTACGTATAGTGTACTTTTACATACGAAAACATGGGGTGTTACAATAGTCCACCTACTTTATGTGGCACAGTTACAGAGGATGCCCAAGGATTTCTAGAAAATTATCACAGTATTCTCTGCACCATGGGTATTTGTGGAGGTGAGCGAAGTTACCTTTACTATATTTTAATGGTCAGGCGTAGCATATCGGTGGTGGTAAATCTATGAAGAAGGTAGACCAGTCAATGCCACACCACCAACTTGGGCTTAATTTTCGAAAATGTTCTTGAAAGAGTTTGTTCCCTAGACTCTTAGAGATGCGTGGCGCACAAAGTTTGAATGGTTACGTCAAAGCACTAAGACAGTGTTAGAATATGCTATCAGGTTCGGTGAGTTAGCCCGTCATGCACCTATCTTGGTTCCTACAATCAGAGAGTGGGTCCGCAGATTTATTGAGGGGCTCGATTATGATATTAAAATATACATGGCTCGAGAATTGCAAACTGATACTCCATTTCATTAAGTAGTGGAGATTGCGAGAAAGATTGAGGGTGTTTTAGGCGAGGAAAGAGAGTCTAAGGAGGCAAAAAGGTCTCGAAGATCTGGAGGGTTTAGTGGATTTTACTAGCTAGGACCCATTATAGCGGAGGCTCGAGCAGTCGGCCAGCTCAGTCCGCACATCGGATTACTCGGAGTGTTCCAGTAAGATCTTATGATGCACCACCGACACAAGATTCCTATAATGATTATTTCAGTTTTCCGGCACAGACTCAGTACGAGCAACCGCGACCTCAAAGGAGTTGTTATGAATGTGGTGATACTAGGCACATCATGAGAGATTGTCCCAGACTTGGGAGTAGTGAATTTCATCAGAGCACTCAAGCTACAAGCTTTATTCCAGTTAATACTCCACGTACATAGTTAGTTAGAGGTAGAGGACAGGCCGGTAGAGGGCGCCTAAGAGGTGGAGGCCCGACCCGTTAATATAATCGCTATGATTTGGCAGAGGCCGATACATTAGATGGTGTCGTTACAGGTATGATCCTGATTTATTTTAAAAAAAAAAAGGGATAATTTTCCCTTAATTTGATTAGGTTCTGAATATTGAAGTGAATCCTCTTATTATGCTCCGCTTATGGGTGAACTCCGTAATTTTGTGACCCACTTATATGTTTATCCTTATTGGGAGATTTGAAGATGTGAGCCCGTGTATGTTATTTTATTTTTGTACATCATTGAGGGCTATAAGTCCAAAAGTAATTTTTATTATTCATTACAGTGAGTTTAATGTATTTCGAAATAATTGATTCCAATTTTTTTATGAATTATATGCCCTACCGGTATGAGGATTCGTTATGTGTTATGAAAGGAAAAAAATGTTTACGAAATTTATTGAAAAGAAGAAAGAAAGAAAATTGAAAATTTCTGTTGGCACAATGTGTAAAATACTTGTGATACGGAGTTGAGGACGAGATACTCATATTTATTTTTATATGATGTGAAACATTTAAATCGGGCTACAAGCCGTGGTGGAAGTTATATAAGGACGAGGTCCTTGTGGTGAAATATTTATGAGTTTAAAATTCTCCCTTAGTGAAATTTAATTTGTACACTAGTATTAATAGGGAGTCATGCCTGTTAGGCTTATTTGATAATTCTTGTATATTTTCTGTGCATATTAAGCCATTTTCGTGTGGTAAATATTGAGTTTTAGCCTATAAGGTGAGTGCCTAAGTGGTATTAAATGTGACTCATTAATCCGAGTAAGTAATCATGAGGTCTTCATGCCTCATATTCTGTTGTCAGTGTTGTGATTAATTGATGATGCTGGAATTAATTATGAACAGCTTTTAAGACGAGAGATGTGGTGATGAGCATACATATGATGTGCTTCATGTCCTGATATTATTATGATAATGCAATGCTGAGATTAGTGTTATTGATATATACTTTGTGGTATTTTGTTGGGTTGCGGATGTGTTGTAGGAGTTATTTTGGTGTTACTCTGGCAGGTGGTTAGGCTCAATTATAGGGGAGACTCTGTCGACATTTCTGAAAAATTTGGGAGTTAGAAAAATATTTGGGAGATTGATAAGTGCGAAAGAAGAGATAAATTATGTTATGTGTTTGAGGGCGAATGATCCTAAGTGGGGAAGAATGAAACACCCTAGAAAAAAAAAATTTGAAGTACTTCAACACTATCAAGAAAGTTGATGCGTGCCTTGTTGTAAAAATTAAGCCTTTTGAAAAGGTTTAGAGTGTAAGAAATTAGTCTTAAAGTTTACAAATGCGGAAAAAAGAAAGAAAGAAATAATCTCAAATGAGATGGTGTTGTCGGGCTTATCTCAAATGTGGTAGCGTGGAATCAACCGTGAGTATATGTGTAAAAGTAAAATCATCAATTTGGTAACCTCCGAAATTTTGAGAACGTTCGAGGACAAACATTTATTTAAGAGGTGGATAATGTAACGAGTCGACTTGTCGTTTTAAGAATTAACGCCCCGTTCAGTGGCTTAAGGTCTCGAACAGTTTCGCAATATGTATTATGACCCGTGGGTGTGGTCGAGTTTGATTTACTGAAGATTTAAAATTTAATTAAAAGAACCATTCTTATTTAGAAGTGTAAATGGAAAGAGTTGAATTAGGCGTGGATTAAAAGAATTAGGCGTGGATTCTCTGTGAGATGCTTGTTTGCTTTTACATACTTAAAAACAGAAACTAAAGAAAACTCATATTGAAGAAGACATATCTATTACCGAAAGTCCTCAACCCATCGCACAGACATAGTCTTCATAAGCATCAATTCTACTTAGATCCTTGTGTCCATCAGGTAAGATATCTTAATAAACTTTCCTCTCGGTAATCTTTGCTTGGTAGTCTCTTAGATAATCTGGGATATCAAAACTCTAGTAACAAAAAATAAAGAGAATCACATATTGAATTCGTTGTATGGTGCCACGAGGTTTAATAAGTGAAATCATATTAGCACTTTTGACCCAAAGGGTGTATTTACAATAAACTTCTATTAACTTGCAATAATATGGTCTAAGAACTGAATTTTCATCACTTGAATTTTGCCAACAACTACTCCTTGCAAAATCACCGAAGAGAACTAAAATATGTGATACATTTACAAAAAATATAATTTAATGGTTATGCCTCCGATCTCAAGATTATCAAAAAAAAAAATCATCTCTAGCCTCTTATCAAAATTACATTTATCTCTTGTTCTTAGTAAAAATTATATCAATCGACCTGGCTATCAAGTGTGGTAATTGAAATCTAATCTAAAAGGTTTAATATATATAGCCACCAACAAACTAAAGTAGTTCTAAACCCTACCAAAAGTTAGAAAAATGTAGTTCAGAATCGTATCGAAAATTTGAAATCCTTCAAGTTATTTTTCATAAGGACAATATCAAGTGCTTGCTTCTTCCTACTTTTATTTGCTTTTCAACATTGTATCTTAAAGTATAAGCGAGTTCATTGTTCCAGCTCCCGTCATTACAATAAAAATCTCCAAAACCCTATTGGTAATGGATTGAACACAACATAAAGGAAGAAAATAGTGTTAGAAAATTATGAATCACAATTAAAGAAGAACTGCTATCTAAATAAATCAACCTCAAAAAATAAATTTTGGAATCATTAATTTTATGTAATATTACTAACCTATTGTGTCAAGCCATCAATCTGCAATTTATGCACATTTGCAGCATAACTTACGGAAGTTCCTATAAATTATTAAAGTTTATGTTCCAAATTATGAGTGAATTAAAGAAAACAACTCTAAACCTAAAAGGAACGAAGAAAACTTTAGACCTGTGAATTTAAAGTTTAGTAGGTTTCAAATTATGTGGAAAAAAGGTCTCCTAAACCTAAAAGAGTAGAAAGAATAACTAAATATTAGGAAAGTTATTAAATATATATCCCTAAATATTAGAGAACTAATTAAATTACTATTTTGTCTAATGTGAAATCAAGTTTTGAAGGATATAAAAGACGAACGACATTTCGATAGAACTTTCGTGCTTTTAATATAGTATAGATATAGATAGATTATGCAACATGATAGCTAAATTGAATATAATATGAAGTCTTACCAATTTGTCATAACTTGTGCATGGCATAGTTTGCCGATTTTGATTGCTCTTACCGCTCAACCTTAGGGTATTTTTAGTTCGAATATATTTTATTAGATGAGTGTCTGCACATATGGGGCCATTCCTGCAATGTTATCAATTTTTGGGATAAAATTTCAAGACCAATCCCAAAAAGCCCCTTTTGTGTCAATATGATGAAAACTATTCTTTTGGGCCGTACGAACCCCTATTTTAAAGCCCAATAAAAAGAATATGGGTCTGTCTAGTGTAGACAGCCCATTTTGCAACCTTAGGACTAGGGTTTCTTAGGAAGCCCTTAAACATAAAAACCCCTGCGTTTTTCTTCACCTTTCTTTTCTCGACTGACGACGCCTCCCAAATATTCAGACACCAAGCAGCGGGAGAGACAGAGACTCAGAAATGGTGACCTACAAAGTTAGTATCAGAAATTCACAACTGTGTTTCCTTTTTTATGAAATTGTTGTATTAATAAATTAATGGGATTTGTTGTTATTATTGTTGTTTGTAGTTCCATCAGTACCAGGTTGTAGGTAGAGCGCTGCCGACAGAAAACGATGAGCACCCAAAAATTTACCGTATGAAGCTCTGGGCTACCAATGAGGTCCGT